TTTGTGAAGAGCAAGTACACACCATTTAATTTCTCGTGGCTAAAGTAGCTGCTTTAGATGTTATACATCTGTCTGACGAAGTTTATCTGAGCACTTGGGTTTAGCTAGCTAGAAAGAGCAGTCACGGAACCGCATGCTTTTAAGGTAGTGGTACGTAGGTTAAGCAGCCAAATCATTCTAGCTAACTTTGGTGAACTCGACAAGTAAACTAAACAAGGAGAATAAACCAACTTTATTGATTGTAATTAGGCTCCACATGTAATCAGAACAGCTAAACTTGTCTAACTTCAAGTACGGATGTTTTTATAGAACAAAGCCTTTTCAAAAGACACTGGATACATCAAAATTACTAATTCCTAGGAGCTAGCGGTAAGTCTCTCACTCTTATCGGTGGGGAACACTACTGAATTTCCATAAATGGACTGCATATTTGCCAGTATACCAGTAAAGTCAACAAATTGGTATCGTAAACTTGATTTTGCTCCACTGAAATTCGTTCATTCAAATTTCACGACTTTAGCGGGGATATGTAAGGCTGCGTTAGGGTCAACGTTGGAGTATTTACCAAGATATTAACACGAACTTTCAAGCGACACAGTTACTTATGTTGTTCAATAGTTCGGCTCCAAATAATAATTGCTTCCTAGTATTTGCGCATTGATGTTCAGCAGAAAAATATACACTCCTGTCCGCTCATTTGTTCTCCATTAGCATAAAGTGGTGACCAACAAATAAAAATTCTAGCCCGTGAGAGTACTCAGATAAAAAGTCATTAGGATACAAGTGACGCTAATAGGTGGTAAGGCATCATCACTTTTCTGAACACTTCATTTAATATAGGAAAAAACCTTTCAGAACAGTCCAGGGAGAATCGATCCACTTTTTCTATGGATATGACATAGTCTTCGGTATCATGACGTTACATGCATCAACAGTCTAATCGTATTCTCGCTTGTACTGTCAAGAGCTAATCAAATGGACGGTTTCCTAAACCTTTCTCTACGTCTGAGAATTTTTCAGCCACGTTTTTATATTTGGAGACAGTCGACAGTTCTAAGCAGGTTAATTAAGGAATAAATGGCGATTTCAGGGATGTTATGATACTTCTGAACCTAAACTATGATTTACCATAATTATCGAGACCCTGTCATTGAACGTATAGTCAAACAAAAGAAACCTCAACCAATCTATCAAAAGTGTGTCAACGTCCCTTGGTATCGAAGGCTGGTTACTGTAGGGTTGTTGATAAAATATTGGACTGTGACCAAATCAGCATTCCGTTCTCAATGTAATTCTGACGTTGGTTAACGTATATGCTGGGTGATTTATCGCGGCTTGCCAAAGCCAACGATGACCTGTGAGGACTAAGAAATAACACCGAAAACAAGCCATATTCCTCTTCAAGTTGAATGCACTCCGATATTAGGGCAATGACTATTGAATGTTGAGAGTTTGATGAACAGAGGAAAATTAAGAAAAGACGAAAAGAAATGAACCCACAGAGTGTATAACACAGCGCCTCAGGGATGGCCGTATCACTTACACCGTTATCTTAAATAAACTATTTAGCCGTTAAGATATTGTTCATTATTCGAAACATCTTAAGAATCAGGGTGGTACATCAGGACAAAAGATTGTGCAACGTTTGTGTAAGATTACATAGATTGGACGGTCACATCATGTTTAGTAAACTAAACTAGACGAAGACTATTAATTTTGTAACACTAGTAAAACCGTCAGAATTATCGTGGTTCTAAATTTAGCAGGACAACAGTGATGAATTGCATAAGTCAGCCGGCCAGTGTGAACTGTCTCAATAATATTTCAATACTACTTCGACATCACTAGAGCACTCCCAAGCAAGTCAGTATTAATTCTTCAAACCGAGAGCAGAAAAGAGTGGTAACCAGGCCACGTGTGGTTTCGTGAGCAAGTCAACTCAACAAAGTGAAAGGTGAACAATAATGAACGATTAAGGTCTACGATCGTAATACTGCACTTATATATGCTACCAAAATAAAAGATAAAATCCATTATTGTGGACTTTCCATGGTTTAACTACCTGATCTTGCTTGAAAGCGTCACCACTGTCCTATCGCAACTATCGTCCTATCGTGACAGTCGTTAAGGCATTTTTATGAACCACCACAAAATGCATTCGAAGTAATTACAAAATAATTTTTTGATGTAAAGTCTAAGTGCTTTTATAATATGACCACGCCTGCGTGGCCGAACCATAAAATCTCGGTTTCATGTTTCCCCATCGAAATGTTTCCAAACTTAATCCAGTACTCAACGTTTATTGTAAGCCTCCTCAGTCTTAGTGTGCTCAACTCTAAGGTCATTTGATAAGAAACCAACGTCAATGCAACAATCTTACACTAAAATCGACCTGAAATTGATTCGATTCAAGACCAGGTGGAATAATCGCATGCCTAATGTTGCCTATAGTCCTATAATAATTCTCCGGGTATAGATAAAATGGAGGGCAACTCAAAAATGGTGACAGCAACTGATCGCGAAATACATATATCAAATCTAAGGAATTTTGTTTTATCCTTGATTCATGCAGAAGGAAAATTTAAGCACAGTTTATATGACGGTCAGAAGGGGTTGTTTACTTACTGACTTACTGACTCCCGTTACTCCTCATGAAGGGGTAAAGGCCGCCAACCAGCACTCTCCATCCAACCCTGTACTGGACAAGCCTTTCCGACTCTTTCCAGGTGTTATTCGTATTTTTCACATCAGCTTTTATTTCCCGACGTAATGTGTTCTTTGGCCTTCTTCTTGTCCGCTTCCCATCAGGATTTCAAGTTAGTGCTTGCCTCGTGATGCAGTTTGATGATTTGCGTAATGTATGTCGTATTCATTTCCATCGTCTTTTTCTACTTTTGTCTTCAGCCGGAAGTTGGTTTGTTCTCTCCTAGAGAAGGCTGTTGCTGATGGTATCCGGCCAATGGATGTTGAATATCTTGCTCAGACAACTATTTATAAATACTTGTACCTTCTTGATGATGTTTAGATAATTCTTCAAGTTTTCGCTCCGTACAGTAGAGATGTCTTGGCTTACGTATTGATATTGATCGAAAGTCTTTTTCGTTAGACACCAATCCATTAGGACTGACCAGACTTCCTAAATAAGTGAAGTCGCAACCGGATTTGCGTAAACTGTGTCCAAACCACCTCTGGTCATTGGATGTGGAATATCTTTTATAGACAGCTGTTTATAAATACCTGTACTTTTTTGATGATGCTTGTGGTTGTTCTTTTCATTTCTGTACAGTGGAACTGTCTTAATGTTTATATGGAAGATTCTGACTTTGATGTTGCCTGATAATTGATCTGGGTTCTGTATGTTCTTCAGTTATAGGAATTCTACCCTTGCCTTTGCATCCTCATCGGATCCTCATTTTTCGTCGATGGTGCTTCCTAGATATGTGAAAGTTCCCAACTCTTCCAGATCTCCATCGAGTGTGATTGAGTTGGTGTTCTCTATGTTATATTTGAGGATCTTGGTTTTTCCTTGTGTGTGTTGAGGTCCGCTGATGCTACGCTGACTGTTTTGACCTGCATTTGTTGATGTGTATGGAACAGGAGAGCTAGGTCATCTGTGAAGTCTAAATCGTCTAGGTGCATCCAGGCTGTTTATTGTATCCCGTGCTTCCTCTGAGAAGCATAGGTCTTCATAGTCCAGACAACCACCAGAAGGAAGAGGAAGGTGGGGTGTAGACAGCCTTGTCTGACACCGGTCATTACTTGGAATGCATCTCTCAGCTGTCCTCTATGCACGACTTTGCAGTGTAGTCCATGGCATGAATTACGGATAATGTGAACGATTTTCTCAAGTACACCGTAGCGTCAAGGTTTCATAACGTTCTCCTATTCATACTGTCAAATACTTTTTCATAATATAGGAAATTGATGTATAGTGACGAGTTCCGTTTAACTGATTGCTCCACAATGATCCGATATCTACTATCTACTTTATTTGTGCTCCTTTACTGTTCTTACCGTTAATTTCAACTTAGGAGAATGTACTTTGACCCTTTAAAATCATCCATGTTTGTGCCTGGTTCTGAGTTTGTTTTGACTGGCTGAATCTGAACTATGATTACTGAACTAATGTGTCTTATTTACATATCCGTTTCAGTTGCATCCTCGAAAAGCTTAAGAACTGCCCTAATTGTCTACCAGAAAAATTAGTATTTTCACTTTCTGTTGATACATTTAAAATAGTTTGATCCTTGAAAGTATTATAAGTTATGAGGCTTAATATAATGTGCCTGTTGTACCTTCTTATTGCTGACTTTCTACCTATTTAAATGTCATCCAAAAGCAAGCACTAGGATTAGTATTCTACTGATATTCGTTGCTTGACATTTTTGTGGTCTGTAATTCCTTTTTATTCGAGGATCTAAAATACAGTTTGAACGATATTTGGGGATGATGGGGTTTGAGGATATAGTTAGATAATAGCCGATGTGTCTAGGAGTATATAATCTTACCTGACTAGTTGTTGTTGGAAACGCACAACACGGCATACTCAAACGTGATCTGGTGCAAATGAGTGACTAAGGATATATAACTAATGGCATGTCCAGTGAAACTGACGAGGTCAACGTTAATATTGTGAACTTATGGAACCACTTATTTTGGAGATTTATTTACCGCTACAGGAGTAATATCCAGAAATGAGATACATGTCAAACTATAAGGTAGGCGCACCCTTCACGCTTTACGAGAGGAAAAGCTTTGAAATTGTTTGTAAACTAAGGAGTATCGAGAAAGTTCTCAGGAGTTCTTCAAGAGGAAGTTTGATTTATTAGGGAATTGAGACAATATTTCATACAAATTTATCAATATTTACGCTTGGTTTATTTAATGTATTTAAGTCTTTGCTTGGAAGTAATGATGGTCCAGCGCTACTGAACATGTGAATCTATTAGGTGAAAGTTTCCTCTAATTTGCTAAAAACCTTCCGAATCATCCGAATTCCAGGCATTGTACATTGTGCACCGCCTGTTTTAACTTGTTGCGCCTCTTCGATATGATTTGTCCTGGTTCTGTAAAGTCATCAGTCATTTAGGTCCTTAATATATGGATGATTCGGAAGAGGTAACATATTTCAAATGGAATAATTTCACGCTTTAGGATCCCGATCTTCTAAACGAAGAGACATTCGACTGTGCAGAGATAGGTTAGGGTTATTCTTATTATTATAACTTTCAGGTGACTGGGAGAACGAACATGATCAATTTGTGCAGAATTTTCATAAAGTTTCCGAAGAATCTCCAACTGCTGATGAACTACCAAAGTTCTGGAATGACACTGGTGGTCTTTCGTTCTTATGGCAAACGAGTGACCTCGGTTGTGGTGTGACTGTGGATGATGGGGGCGAAAAAGTAAGTGAACAGATCACAGTTATATTTTCTAAAGGTTGTCGATGTTGAGGAAACACTTCAAAAGCTAGTATTAGATGAGACCTTTGAGGATCCTGCTATCCTAGATATATCCAGGAAGGTTTCTTACCAACAGCTCAACGAAGACTCATTTCAGCATCTGAGAAACACACCTGCATATCCGACTGCTCCTACTGACATACTTGATAAGACTCGTGACATCTGGAGCATTGATGGTAGTTATGAGGTTGGATATGGAAGTGGCAAGATCAGCACAGCGTCCGATTGTAATATGAAGTCGAAAAACGTAATCGATATACTCCGATCATTGAATGTTTACCCTCCACCATCTGTCAAGACTGTATCTATACCACCAGAAGCTTCTACCGAAAATTACTTGTCACGTAAGGTAGCTACAGAATCACAAACAAGGGAAGTCGGTACTGAGTTATTCTCCAAAGCTTCTCAATCTTCAAGAAACCTCCAAAATATTGTAACAGTTAGTCAGCACAAATTGTATCCTAGCCCTGTGTTTTCTTCTGGGAATCGCGTCTGCCAGTCACAAGCAGTTCAAAATTCTCTATCTGTCCATGTGAGTGTTTTTCATACAACATTTGGAATTATGAATTTCTCCTTTCATTTATTGGGATTCTTATTATTTCTACAGGTTGTTAGTAATTTTACTTTGCTATTTCAAACCTCATAAATTTTAAAACCTCAGAATTTTCTTTGTATTCAAATGTTTCATTATTTAACTACCGTTTGAATTAACTAGCATTTTTTAAAAACAAATACTCAACTTCAATAAATCCAAACTAAATCTATAAAGTAGGCAGTTGTAGTAGTGGTATTTAGTTCGACTTGTTTTTGTCACCTTATAAGGGAGTACTCGCACTACTCAAATGATTTATTTCCAAGAGCGAAATAACAGTAGTTGATGTATGTAACTAAACACACGTATTACTACTTATAACTCGTTTTATGCTTATCATCGGCCATTAACAATATATTGCGACGTCCCATTACTTTGCGTTTTAATTTCTCTGCCTATAAAATAAATTCAAGGGATTTCATTGGTGGTTGTAGTGGCATACTTCATTTGATGTGTATTTCTTGATGTATTTCCATTTAAGCCAGTATAAACATGATTTAGATAGAAATTCATACAATATTAATTCGTGTTTCTTCACGAAGTCTTATATTTGACTCAACTTGTGGTCAGGGGTACTGAACATGCGATCACTATACCATCTGAGCGGTACTTAACCGATGGGTATTGACATATACTCGATTTTGCAAACATTAGGAATAAGTTCTGGATAGTTCTTTACTCGATATTAAGTCTAATAGTCTTTTTATCCATTTTAGTTAGCATATTCCAAGCTTTATTATTTATTTATTTATTTTAACACATAGATATTGGCACAAGAAGGCACTAAATACATATGCGCCACACAAATCTCATTCGATATGTGTGAGGGCTGTGATACTGCCCGGGTGCTCGAACCGAAGCAGGTGGTTTTCTTAGGTGGCCTTCGATCTGAAGGTCTGATCCACAAGGCAGTGGAGCATCGTGAGGAGATGCAGTCCCATGGAAGCCGGTGACCAACGATTGGTTCATACGCCATTTGTTCCCTTAGGATACTGTAGCCCATGTGCACCATTGGTTTGGAATCCGGTTAAAGCGCCGAACATTCGCTTTTCGTCCTCTCATTTTCGTAAACAACACTCCTGTCACGAGAAGGCAGTGAGTAGAACTTCCCTGGCAGAGGCTATATACGCGTGGCCATGTGAGGGTATTTCGAGAGGGAGAGCGGACTCTCCCCACTCTCGGTCGTACCAGGGCATTTGGGGGCCCAAGCTTACAGAGTGTATCAATAGTCACTCACTTTACTGAGCAAACCTGTAAGAAAAGCTAAGATTTCCATTCAGGTCTTCCAATCGGACTACATTGACCTAGCTTGTGTCTCTTAGGATCTGACCAAACTGCAACTGAATTTCATATCTAATTCACTACCCCTGAAGTACGATTAAAAATTGTTATCTTCTTTGGTGGCGTGATAAAATCTAAGTTTTGAATGTGCAGGTTATCAATCATTTCCACAGGCACCATACATTAAATCTCTAAGGAAAATTAAACTTTGTTATGTAAAATACCCACCTAAAGCACGTGTTATAAGTGATTGTTCACTCGTAATGTCCGTTAATTAAAGGTGAAAATACACCAAGATAAAAGTTGGAAAATATCAGTCAAATACTAGCATTCTTTCAGTCCCAACGTTTTCTCGCAGTTTGGTTAAAGCTTAGAATTTAAATGTTCTTATAAGAAACTGGTATTCTAGTAGGATTAATCAACTGAAAACTGATTATGATCATACTATTCGAGTTATCCCGTAGAAAGTTGTTGATTCTCGTCAAATGAGAAATGTTTAACGACAGCCTTACTTACGCCTGTTACTCCGATTTGAGCATAGGCCGCTGGCTGGCATTCTCCGATCCACTCTGTCCTGGGCCTTCCTTTCTAGCTCTATCCAATTGTTGTTCATTCTTATGTCTGTATTCATTTCTCGGCGTAATGTGTTCTTCGATCTTCCTCTTTTGCTTTGGCCTTGAGGATTACAGGTGGGGGCTTTCCTTGTGACGCAGTTGGGTGCTTTTCTCAATGTGTGTCCTATCCACCTTCTTCCTCCGTTGGAATCTGGTCTGTTCTCTCCCACAGTAGGTTGTTGTTGGTAGTGTCTGCTCAACGGATCCGAAGTACTGCTTAAACAACTGTTAATAAACGCTTGTATCTTCTGGATGATGGCTTTCGTACTTCTCCAAGTTTCCGCCTCATAGAGTAGAACTGTCCTGATATTTGTATTGAAAATTCTGACTTTGGTGTTGGTTGACAGTTGTTTTGAGTTCCAGATGTTCTTTATTTGTAGACATGCTGCTCTTGCTTTGCCTATCCGCGCCTTCACATATACATCAGATCCGCCGTGTTCATCAATGATGTCGCCCAGATATGTAAAGGTTTTTACATCTTCCAAATCTCCGTCAAGTGTGATTCGATTGTTGCATGCTGTGTTGTATCGGAGAATCGTGCTTTTCCCTTTGTGTATGTTAAGACCTACTGCTGCTGAGGCTGGTGCTACACTGGTCGTCGTCTGCATTTGTTGTTGCGTATGCGATGGGAAAGCCAGATCATCTGCGAAGTTTAGATCGTCCAGCTGCATCCTAGATGTCCACTGTATCCCATGCCTCTTCCCAGATGTTGACGTTTTTATGATCCAATCAGTCACCAGAAGAAAGAGAAAGAGTGAGAGTAAGCAACCTTGCCTTACACCGATCTTTACCTCGAACGAGTCTGTGACATGTCCTTCATGCACTATTTTGCAGTGTAATCCATCATAGGAATACCGTATTATGTTGACTATCTTCTCAGGTACGCCGTAGTGTCGAAGAAGCTTCCACAGTGTTCTCCTGTCCACGCTATCAAATGCCTTTTCGTAGTCAATAAAGTTGATGTAGAGTGATGAATTCCATTCAATTGATTGTTCCACAATGATCCGTAGAGTTGCCATTTGGTATGTACACGATCTATCCTTACAGAATCATGTCTGTTGTTCACTTATTCACTCCCTTTTATTCCCACTTTGTGTATCCTTATTTTTCGACTTATACAGCAGCTCGCCTATGATGGAAACTCGGTTCTATCTAGACGTTCTCGAGTCACTGCCTGGTTGAAAATTATATGCTACCACCAAATACGAATACTGAAACAGTTCTTCTGAAACTACGTGCACCATTCAAATTGGCTGCCTTCAACGTTCGCACACTTATGCAGGTCGGACAACAGATAGGAAAGTTTCGATAATGATATTAGAAGACGAAGATTATCGAAATTTATCAAAGGGACTAATTGTTTTAAAGATAGGAAAGTCTTAATATCGACGTTTGTTGTCTATCCGAGACCCGTATTCAAGACTCTGGTGAAGTACTACAAATTTGCTCTCCATCTGTCGTTTCGAAAAGCTTGTTTTAAATGTGTTTATCCGGGGACCCTGTGGCATCTTCGCCTGGTCTTGCTGGCGTTGGTGTCGCACTAAGCGCTAGAGCTGAGACAGCACTAATCGATTGGATCCCCATTAACAGTCGGCTATGTGCTGTTAGATTAGAGAATTCCATCAAAATGAGAAGAAATTGGCGTGAGAAACGATATCTTTTCGTCATCTCCGCCTATGCCCCAACAGATTGCAGACCGGATGCAATCAAGGATAAATTCTACCACCAGTTAACTGATCTTCTCCAGAAAGTGCGTTCGACAGATATTGTAGTACTAGCCGAAGACTTGAATGCTCAGATCGGGCATCTAGGCATGAAATCAATGCATGTATAGTGAAAGCCAGAGCGGCTTATGCCAATCTGGGCCACCTTTGGCGCCTTCGTGATGTCAGTCTGTCTGTTAAAGGTCGGATCTACAACGCGTCGGTGAGAGCAGTTCTGCTCTATGCTTGTGAAACCTGGCCTCTCCGAGTTGAGGACGTTAAACGACTCTCTGTGTTTGGTCATCGCTGTCTCCGAGGGATTGCTGACATCCAGTGGCAACACCATGTTAGTAATGGAGAGGTTCGGCATCGTGTGTTCGGGTACAGAGACGATAATTCAATTGGTGTCACCATCTTGAAACATCGACTTCGGTGGCTTGGACATGTTCTACGAATGTCGTCCCAGAGAATTCCATGTCGTGCATTATTTGTCGACGCTGAGACTGGTTTGAAAAAGCGGAGAGGTCGTCAGTGTATGACATGGTGTCGTGGAATGAAAGAAAGCTGCAAAGGACTGGCTTGTGTTGGTCCTTCACGACTCCCTGGTTGGGGTCCGAGAGATGGTGCGACACAGTGGCTAGATACGTTATCAGATATGGCTCAGAATAGAAGCCAGTGGCGATCCTGCTGTAACCTTCTTTTACTTTCTTCATAAAAAACGGGTGTGTCTTCCTTAGCTGAAAGATTTCTTCTAGTTGTACCTTTCCGTTTCCCCCATTATTATTATTATTATTATTATTATTATTATTATTATTATTATTATTATTATTATTATTATTATTATATGTGCCTGGTCCTACGTTGTGGCTGACTGACTGACTGATTAGTATTGTTATTATTACACTACCTTTCACTAATCTGGTCGTCATTGTTCTCCTTTTTCTCTTTTACGCTCCTCACCTTTCTTTTTTCTCTTCCCATTCTCATTGTTTTGTGTGGCGCATATATATTTGGTGCCCCCTTGTACCAATATTTCTTGTTTTCCAATAAATAAAATAACTCGTCGTGGAGGGGCATAGGCCGCCCACCAACACTCTCCATCCAACCCTGTACTGGACAAGCCTTTCCGACTCTTTCCAGGTGTTATTCGTATTTTTCACATCAGCTTTTATTTCCCGACGTAATGTGTTCTTTGGCCTTCTTCTTGTCCGCTTCCCATCAGGATTTCAAGTTAGTGCTTGCCTCGTGATGCAGTTTGATGATTTGCGTAATGTATGTCGTATTCATTTCCATCGTCTTTTTCTACTTTTGTCTTCAGCCGGAAGTTGGTTTGTTCTCTCCTAGAGAAGGCTGTTGCTGATGGTATCCGGCCAATGGATGTTGAGTATCTTACAGAGGCAATTGTTTGGGCTCTAAATGTATCGACCGATTACACTGACACATAATGGGCAGGTCTGTTTTCAGACCTGTATTGCGTCAACAGATTTACCGGGGTAATATTCGGCACTTTAGTCTATCGCACTGTACAAATGTAGTCTTCACAGTTTGTACATAATATTGAGGGAGTTAGTTTGTTGTGTTACACGATTTTTATCTTTATTAATCTTCGTGCCTAACCATAGTGTGTTGGTTTAGTGAACAAATCATTTCATTTAGATTTTGTACTCATAGTAACTGCTAAAATTCCTAGATATCTGAACTGATAATCTTTTTCATTACTGTTGTTGACATAAAAATCCACTCTTTTTGTTATAGCAGAATGGAATACATGCCAATCATTTACGCGCTAACCCCTTTTCATTGGATATTTTGAAGGGACAGTTTCCCACTGATGCCAATGTTTTCCCCACGTTACCGGCAATGCAGTCTGTATTTAAAAATCTACATCCCTCAAAGTTGGATTACTCACAAATTCATGGGTAAGTGTTATTTTGACTGAATATTCATATTTCATTTAGTCGTCGAATTTATGTTGTTAATGTATACAACTGCTATATTTCAAGAGTTGACCAGTAGAGTTGTGTCGTCTGCTGATATACATGAGATATGACTCAGTTTACTGTGGTCAACTTCACTAAATTACTACGTTAGAGACACTAAATGAAAAGTTTGCACGATGTAGGCGCGAACTTTAAGATCAGTCACGAAAATACGTTTGACATAAAACTTGTAGAGTATCACATTACGTAGAGGTATGTATTTGCACCCGTTTGTTGAAAAGAAGTCAGTTGATATGATCCACGACGAGTGTTGCTATCTTTCCGAGTCCTTACTGTTTCGTTTAGTCAGACAGCTCACAAATGACTGTCTACTGGGATCCACTCTAAGAGGGCTAGTTCTGCCCTAGGACTCAATGCTATACCTACGCCGGCGAGGCCACGGGAAGCAGAATCAGGTCTTCCAGATACACGAAGTGGGAATCGAGTCGGTTCTTTATTTTGGCATGATGAGGTCAAGTGAATGACGCTACTCGGATCCTGTATGCGCGTTTCGGAGACGCAGCACACATCGATGGCGCGAGATTCTAAAGTCTTAGCTAAGGAAGCCTGCTGTCCTATTTGGCACAGTGTTTGGACGTTAAAAGCTCCTACCTGTAGTTTAGAGCGTGGTTTCAGGAGACCAGGAATAACGTTCGGTGTACTCGAATCGTTTGCCCTAGCGGTGCGAGGTGAGAAAGCGATATGAGGAGGGTTAGTCATGGAGATAAGAGAGGTATTAGGAGGTGTAGGAAGGATTTGAATGTGACCACCTTGGTCTCGTGTGCTGTTACGGGTATGAGGGCTGATGTCACTTCCCGGCTGCCTACACCATGGAAGGGTATTTCTTGAGGAACCTGAGAAGGAAATTGGATTGGTGTTGGTCTTAACGACCTGGGAGTGTGACCGCAGAGCCCAAGGGACAACTACTTGAGGCCGGTCGCGCACGGCCTTTTTGTGGACGATTTTTGACGTGTTAGCTCCGTTCTTCAAAGGGCCTTACCGCCGGAGAAGGAAATCCGTGAGGTAAGGTGGGGTGTGACGTTTTTAGGGTCGACCTTTTCTAACCCCACCCCTCCTTGTGAGAAGGCAGTATCGCTGCAGATGCTGGTTGTCTGAGGGAAACACCTTACTGCTATCACACCTCTTACAGTCAGTAGTACGAATTCGCACTCAGACCTTGAATTGCTGCTTTTAGTCTTACCGTTCTCCAATCGACCTGCCTGGCATGGTAGAAGCTACGGGAACATATGTTCCAGTCAATATAGCTCGGTTGGGTCATCACGATAGGCAAGCCCGACCGTCGCATCAAGGTAGCAGCTTCTGTCAGGATTCACTATACGTGCATTGATCTCATGCCTAGATGCCCGATCTGAGCATTCAAGTCTTCGGCTAGTACTACAATATCTGTCGAACGCACTTTCTGGAGAAGATCAGTTAACTGGTGGTAGAATTTATCCTTGATTGCATCCGGTCTGCAATCTGTTGGGGCATAGGCGGAGATGACGAAAAGATATCGTTTCTCACGCCAATTTCTTCTCATTTTGATGGAATTCTCTAATCTAACAGCACATAGCCGACTGTTAATGGGGATCCAATCGATTAGTGCTGTCTCAGCTCTAGCGCTTAGTGCGACACCAACGCCAGCAAGACCAGGCGAAGATGCCACAGGGTCCCCGGATAAACACATTTAAAACAAGCTTTTCGAAACGACAGATGGAGAGCAAATTTGTAGTACTTCACCAGAGTCTTGAATACGGGTCTCGGATAGACAACAAACGTCGATATTAAGACTTTCCTATCTTTAAAACAATTAGTCCCTTTGATAAATTTCGATAATCTTCGTCTTCTAATATCATTATCGAAACTTTCCTATCTGTTGTCCGACCTGCATAAGTGTGCGAACGTTGAAGGCAGCCAATTTGAATGGTGCACGTAGTTTCAGAAGAACTGTTTCAGTATTCGTATTTGGTGGTAGCATATAATTTTCAACCAGGCAGTGACTCGAGAACGTCTAGATAGAACCGAGTTTCCATCATAGGCGAGCTGCTGTATAAGTCGAAAAATAAGGATACACAAAGTGGGAATAAAAGGGAGTGAATAAGTGACGTGGTAAATAATAATAATAATAATAATAATAATAATAATAATAATAATAATAATAATAATAACAATAATGGTGTGAATTGTTTGACTGTTAATCGAAGCGTGAATAGAATTTTCAGTAAATATCGTCATTTTCATTTTATTTGTGTGTGGGCTGTGATACTGCCCGGGTGGCCAGACCGAAGCAGGTGGTTTTCTTAGAGGGCCACACCCCAAGCCTTTGACCTAAAGGTCTGATCCACAAGGCAGTGGAGCATCATGAGGAGATGCAGTCCCATGGTAGCCGGTGACCAACGATTGGTTCATACGCCATTTGTTCCCTTAGGATACTGGAGACCATGTGCACTATGGATTTGGAATCCGGTTAAAGCGCCGAACATTCGCTTTTCATCCTCATTGTGGTGAATAACACCCTTGCCGCGGGAATGCAGTGGGTCTAACTTCCCTAGCAGAGGTTTATATGCGTGGCCGTGTGAAAGCATTTAGAGAGGGAGGTCAGGCCCTCTTCTCTCTTGGCTGTACCAGGGATTTTGGGGTCAGGTAGTGTAATCTGGGATGCATTTTTCTGGTATTTGTTAAAGTTGAAAGCCACAAGTATTTGATTTATTTAATTCAATATTATTTTGCAGTTTAGCATTTATGCGAAATCAGTGCATCCTTCCACAACAACCACCTGTCGTTTCACCTGTTTCTTCAAGTCAGCACAATCCTTTGATGTCACCTCCGAGCGTTCGTGGAATAATGTTGCCAAATGTCCAACCCAATAGTTTTCCGCTTTCATCATACCTCTCACGTTTTCCTGTTCAACCAACAAATATTGAGTCGAAACAGTCTGTTAGTCTATCATCAACTGTTATACCCTGTTCAAAACAACCAACAGGATTCGTTGCTCCACTTGAGGAAGTGTCCATAGATAAAGAAAGCGACCCAAACAGTGGTAGTTGGATGACAGACTATGAAGCAATTGGTGTGTTATTGATTCAGTTGCGTCCTTTGATGGTATCTAATCCCTATGTCCAGGTCAGTTTCTTATTTTCTAAATGTTTTCAATTTACTACATTTTTAGTTGATTATGTGATTCTTAAGTCGCACAGTTGCCTGGAAATTAATGCCTCTACTCACTGAATGATTTTGTTGACCGGATCGTTTATATGTCTTTTCATTTACTGTTAATGAAACACAGGTGTAGTTCTTAGCACTTGATGAAAATTAATTTCTGAAATCGCTTATTAGTTAGTTTTGTAGTTGATTTCTTAAAATCATAGGTCACATATTTTCATGTCAAGGGGGATTAACATAAGGTACCAAGAACCATCCGGGTTTTTGATGATATTCATTTCTTCAATCGTTACCCCATCACTTATATACAGCAGAATGAATCACCACATTATTAGGGCTATGCGGTAATAAAAATGTAGTTCAAACTTCTCCAAATATCTGTTTAGTTAATATAATTTGTGCAAAATTTTCTGTTTTGAAACGTCTTTTAATATGGTTTTAAAGTTGATACACCATTTATTTATCATCGAAATGATGGGATTATTATTACTACTACTATTATTGTCATTATTGTTATTATTATCATTATTATTATTATTTTCCACATTATTCACCCTCTTTTATACCTATACAGTAGCTCGTCTTTGGTGGAAATCCGACTGTATCTAAACGTTCTCGAGTCACTGTCCGGTTGAAAATTGTATGTTACCACCGAATACGAGGACTGAAGCAGATTTTCTGAAACCACGTGCACCATTCAAACTGGCTGCCTTCAACGTTCGCACATTTATGTAGGTCGGACAACAGATAGGGCTGGCTATGTCTTTGGAAAGTCTTAATATCGACGTGTGTTGTCTATCCGAGACCCGTATTCAAGACTCTGGTGAAGTACTACAAATTCGATCTCCATCTGTCGCTTCGAAAAGCTTGTTTCACGTGCGCTTATCCGGGGACCCTGTGGCATCTTCGTCTGGTCTTGGTGGCGTTGGTGTCGCACTAAGCGCTAGAGCTGAGACAGCACTAGTCGATTGGATCCCCATTAACAGTCGGTTATGTGCTGTTAGATTAGAAAGTTCCATCAAAATGAGAAGAAATCGGTGTGAGAAACGATGTCTTTTCATCATCTCCGCCTATGCCCCGACAGATTGCAGCCCGGATGCAATCAAGGATGAGTTTTACCACCAGTTAACTGATCTTCTCCAGAAAGTGCGTTCGACAGATATTGTAGTACTAGCCGAAGACTTGAATGCTCAGATCGGGCGTCTAGGCACAGAAGAGAGTCGTTTAGGTGGCCGATGGGGACTCGTTGGTCGCAGGTCAGATAACGGGGACCGTCTACTGCAACTGTGCACAGACCACAACCTGTTTCTGGCTAGCACTAACTTTCGGCACAGTCATCGCCGATGTGCCACCTGGCGTCCTCCCTCTGCATCTCAAGCCTGGACTCAGATTGATCACATCGCGATCAGCTACCGCTGGCGTGGTTGTGTACAAGACTGCCGCTCCTTTTGGAGTACCTATCTGTACTCTGACCATGCCTTTGTCTGCGCCAATCTTGCCTTACTTTTCAGTGGACAACGAAGTGAACGCCATCAACGGATTGATGTTAGCAAGCTGGTTGCAACTTCTGTTGCAAGTAAGTATCGAACCGAGCTAGCCTCTAGGCTAGCTACCACTCCACCGAAAAGTATAGATGAGCATTGGTTGCAATTGCATGACGCCATGAAAATGGCGGGAACAGTCAGTTGTGGGTTTGCGAAACGTCCCGCTTTTAAGCACTGGGTTTCTTCTGGTTCCTTACAACTCATTGAAGCCCGTCGGTCTACTCCGGGTGACCGTGAGTTTGACCATAAACGAAGGATGTTACGTAAGGAAATTGGGCAAAGCTTGCGTAAGGACCGAGAAGCCTGGTGGTCGATGCGTGCTAATGAGCTGGAATCAGAAGCTGCATCTGGTAACTACCGGAAGCTCTTCCAGCTCATCCGAGCCACTGGCAGCAAGAAGTCTGGTGTGAGTGAAACAATCTGCGAGGATGATGGGATGCCAATCACTAACATCCATCGACGTCTTGGACGATGGGCAGAATTTTTCGAAGGGCAGTTCAACTGGCCTGCTGCTCCGGCAACATCGGTCAGACTGTCCTGCCCTCCATGGCCGGTGACGACTGATCCACCAAATGAGGAGGAAGTCCGCAAGGAACTCCAACTCTTGAAGCGTTACAAATCACCTGGCCCAGATGACTTACCTCCGGCTCTTTTTAAAGATGGTGGTGACTTTTTGACTAAGGAATTGACGACGTTGTTTACAAAGGTTTGGGAACTAGAGAGTGTGCCAACGTCATGGAATCAATCGATAGTTGTCCCTATCTTCAAAAAGGGTTCACGTCGTTCCTGTAACAACTATCGGGGGATAAGTTTACTTCCGATTGCGTCCAAGCTATTGGCTTCCGTCATTCTTCGTAGGTTGTTCAAAACCCGAGAAAGATTGACTCGCGAGGAGCAGGCTGGGTTTCGTTCTGGTCGAGGATGTATTGATCATATCTTCACCCTCCGCCAAATGTTAGAACACCGCCATACTTTTCAAAGGCCAACAATCGTAGTGTTTCTTGACATCAGGGCTGCCTTCGATTCGTTGGATAGGACTGTTCTCTGGGATTGTCTATTGAAGAAGGGTGTGCCTGAGAAGTTTATTAACATCCTAAAAGCCCTATATAAAAACACCTCAGGCAGAGTGAGGGCATACAACCACCTTTCTCCATTGTTCCATTCGAGTAGTGGGGTTAGGCAGGGTTGCCCACTCTCACCATTCCTCTTCAACTTTGCCATCGATGACATTCTGGAAACAGCTCTGATGAATGTAAGTAATGGTGGTGTGGATCTGTTGCCTGGAGAAAGACTTCTCGACCTTGAGTATGCGGACGATATTGTCTTACTGTGCGATAATGCCCAAGGCATGCAATTTGCACTTAATCAGTTGACAATCAGTGTCCGTAGGTATGGTATGTGCTTTGCACCTTCGAAGTGCAAAGTACTTCTACAAGACTGGCAGGATTCTAATCCTGTACTCACCCTGGACGGTGAGCAGATAGACGTAGTTGAGAAGTTCGTGTATCTGGGTAGCTGCATAAGTGCTGGTGGGGGTGTGAGTGATGAGATCAATGCACGTATAGTGAAAGCCAGAGCGGCTTATGCCAATCTGGGCCACCTTTGGCGCCTTCGTGATGTTAGTCTGGCTGTAAAAGGCCGGATCTACAATGCGTTGGTGAGAGCAGTTTTGCTCTATGTTTGTGAAACCTGGCCTCTCCGAGTTGAGGACGTTAGACGACTCTCTGTGTTCGATCATTGCTGTCTCCGAAGGACTGCTGACATTCAGTGGCAACACCATGTCAGTAATGCAGAGGTTCGGCATCGTGTGTTCGGGCACAGAGATGATAACTCAATTGGTGTCACCATCTTGAAACACCGACTTCGGTGGCTTGGACATGTTCTCCGAATGTCGTCCCAGAGAATTCCACGTCGTGCATTCTTTGCGGACTCTGGGACTGGTTGGAAGAAGCGGAGAGGTGGTCAGTGCATGACATGGTGTCGTGGAATGAAAGAAAGCTGCAAAGGACTGGCTTGTGTTGGTCCTTCACGACTCCCTGGTTGGGGTCCGAGAGATGGTGCGACACAGTGGCTAGATACGTTATCAGATATGGCTCAGAATAGAAGCCAGTGGCGATCCTGCTGTAACCTTCTTTTACTTTCTTCATAAAAAGTGGTTGTGTCTCCTTTACCTGAAAGATTTCTTCTGATTGTACCTTTTCGTTCCGCCGTTACTACCACATTACCTTACTCCAATCTCTTCGTCATTGTTCTCTTTTTCTTTTGCGTTCCTTAGTTGTTTTTTTTCTCTTTCTACTTCTCTTCGAATTCCCATTGTTTTGTGTGGCGCATATATATTGGCGCTCTCTTGTACCAATATTTATGTGTTCAAATAAAATAAAATAAAATAAATGGGATTTGACGTCAAAATGCTCGTTCTTTGATATGATTCATGTAATGTAAGTTCAATGAAATCCCACTTGTTTAAAACTCGTTTCAGATCATTTCCTTCAAGAATAATTTGTGTTTTAACTTCTGATGATTTTGGCACAGTTAAGAGTTTTTTCAATGGTTAATACGAATAAATAGTTGTTTATTTATCTCGAGTTATGTATTCGAATTTCATATAACCAATTGTCAAATTCTGACATTTATTAATTAATAGTTGAATTCACGGGTCAATTGAAGCTAGACCACCATAGAAAACCTGGAAGCACTGGACGGCCGTTTCGTTCTAGTATGGGAGTTCTCAGCAGTGCGCATCCACGATCCCGCCTCGCGAGATTCAAACCCAGGACCTATCGGTCTCGCGCACGAACGCTTAACATCTAGACCACTGAGCCGGCATCCAATGGTGTTAATGTCTAATTTCAACCAATCCACGAAATTGCGCCACTATCCACTATTATCTTCAGTGAATTACTATCTCACAACTGACCCGGTTGAATTCCACTGGTCACTGCTTCTCAGTTGAACTCCAGGAAATACCTTTTTGAGACCGTCTGTAGTTGGCATATGGTGATTATTATCGGAGAGGGGTTTTGTGGATATTATAGCAATTTAGTAATTGAATTCATGAGTCAATGGGAGCTAGACCATCATGGATGCGCACTCCTGAGGAGTCCCATACTAGGACGAAATGGCCGTCCAGTGATTCCAGGCTTTCCATGGTTGTCTAGCATAAATTGAAACATAAATTGGATTATTAAATTACTATGATATCCACAAAACCCCTCTCTGATTTATTAATTAGCCTATAATTTATCATGAGTAAATATATTTGGTTGTACGGCTTTGAAAATAAGCTCTTTGTAAATGAATTTCTTGCTGAGTTAATCATTTTATTATTCAGGTGTTTTTAGAACTAATTGTATCGCATGTTTGTGTCTTTAAGACTATAAATTCCCATCGCTTGTTTATTCATCTTCAGATCAATGTCTCTTTTGATTTTGAACTTCTGAAGCCTAGTCGTTTCTATCTTGAATTAATGAAATGCACCAGTGTCCATAACTGAGTAATACCCAGAATATTGATTCTGTTACCAGTTATTCCATCATTTGACTTAAAATACATTGCTGCTTGGTATACTGTAATTCAGTTAATTTCTGTGTCACAAATGGTAAATGTAGTGGTTGTTTTATTCAGCCAAATTTTTAATTTAACAGTATAGTAGTTCCTCCATTTTGAGACATAATCTCACCATTATAGTTGTTTTAACTTTCCAGCTATACAGCAAAGTAAAAATAAATAAAATCAGAAAATTAGCTAATTTCTAAGCTTTATTTTTGTTTAGGTATCCATTTATTGCTCTCAATGTACCTGAGCGTCTTTCTTTTTTTCGTGAACAAGTCTAGTGATCATATTGTATACTGATTAGTTATTCAAGGACTACTAATCATTATTTCTCTTGCCAGGATTATTATTTCGCATCTCAATGGTTGCGACGAATAAATGCTATTCAATCTAAACATATTTCAAAAGTTAAAATGAACACTACAACTTCACCAGCAACAGTGCAACTTCCTATTCCTATACCACTTGAAAGCTTAAGCGATTCCAATTCACCGTATCAAGTAACTCTGAAACATAAACTTGTTATTCCTTTTCGAGCTGTGAATCGCCATCCTAGTTTTGACCAAAATATAGATGAAAACTGTGATAGCTTAGAAAAGAAAAGTGTATGCTCAGAAACTCCTACTTCTGAATCAAGTAACGCACTGGGTCGTCCAACTAGATCCAATGTTCATCGGCCCCGTGTTGTAGCAGAGTTATCACTAGCGTCCGCAATTTCATCTACTGCAGAAACCACTTATCCCGTGATACCAATAAATAATCAAACAATGAACAAAAAAGTGAGTCACAAAACCAAACACCACAAAAAATATTCATAAAACACTAAATAAAAGAAATTGTCATGATTTTCTCTCTGTGTGCATATAAACTTTTCTATCAATCACTATGGGAATGTTGAGTATTTTGTATATGGGGTTGATTTTGTGTTGATGGTTTTTCGTTGTAATATTGGTGTTTGAATGTTTGGTGAATGATGATAATGGAGAGCACTGGTGTTCCCTGTTATGTTTCTGTTGTTCAGGTTGTGTGTGTTTTGATGGTTTAGTTTGTGTAATGCATGTAAGTACTTTCAACCAATCCACTTGTTGCTTGTTAACATATGTGGGTGTAATGAGAGTGACATTGATGGTTGGACAGATTTCTCGTTGAACGACGATGTTAATTTGCGTAGTCGTGTTCCATGTTCTGTCTACATGATGATGAAGGAGTGTGTGTTGTACATGTTTTGTTTTGTGTGTGTATGTGAATGTTGAGTATTTTGGTATATGGGGTTGATTTTGTGTTGATGGTTTTTCGTTGTAATATTGGTGTTTGAATGTTTGGTGAATGATGATAATGGAGAGCACTGGTGTTCCCTGTTATGTTTCTGTTGTTCAGGTTGTGTGTGTTTTGATGGTTTAGTTTGTGTAATGCATGTAAGTACTCTCAACCAATCCACTTGTTGCTTGTTAACATATGTGGGTGTAATGAGAGTGACATTGATGGTTGGACAGATTTCTCGTTGAACGACGATGTTAATTTGCGTAGTCGTGTTCCATGTTCTGTCTACATGATGATGAAGGAGTGTGTGTTGTACATGTTTTGTTTTGTGTGTGTATGTGAATGTTGAGTATTTTGGTATATGGGGTTGATTTTGTGTTGATGGTTTTTCGTTGTAATATTGGTGTTTGAATGTTCGGTGAATGATGATAATGGAGAGCACTGGTGTTCCCTGTTATGTTTCTGTTGTTCAGGTTGTGTGTGTTTTGATGGTTTAGTTTGTGTAATGCATGTAAGTACTCTCAACCAATCCACTTGTTGCTTGTTAACATATGTGGGTGTAATGAGAGTGACATTGATGGTTGGACAGATTTCTCGTTGAACGACGATGTTAATTTGCGTAGTCGTGTTCCATGTTCTGTCTACATGATGATGAAGGAGTGTGTGTTGTACATGTTTTGTTTTGTGTGTGTATGTGAATGTTGAGTATTTTGGTATATGGGGTTGATTTTGTGTTGATGGTTTTTCGTTGTAATATTGGTGTTTGAATGTTTGGTGAATGATGATAATGGAGAGCACTGGTGTTCCCTGTTATGTTTCTGTTGTTCAGGTTGTGTGTGTTTTGATGGTTTAGTTTGTGTAATGCATGTAAGTACTCTCAACCAATCCACTTGTTGCTTGTTAACATATGTGGGTGTAATGAGAGTGACATTGATGGTTGGACAGATTTCTCGTTGAACGACGATGTTAATTTGCGTAGTCGTGTTCCATGTTCTGTCTACATGATGATGAAGGAGTGTGTGTTGTACATGTTTTGTTTTGTGTGTGTATGTGAATGTTGAGTATTTTGGTATATGGGGTTGATTTTGTGTTGATGGTTTTTCGTTGTAATATTGGTGTTTGAATGTTTGGTGAATGATGATAATGGAGAGCACTGGTGTTCCCTGTTATGTTTCTGTTGTTCAGGTTGTGTGTGTTTTGATGGTTTAGTTTGTGTAATGCATGTAAGTACTCTCAACCAATCCACTTGTTGCTTGTTAACATATGTGGGTGTAATGAGAGTGACATTGATGGTTGGACAGATTTCTCGTTGAACGACGATGTTAATTTGCGTAGTCGTGTTCCATGTTCTGTCTACATGATGATGAAGGAGTGTGTGTTGTACATGTTTTGTTTTGTGTGTGTATGTGAATGTTGAGTATTTTGGTATATGGGGTTGATTTTGTGTTGATGGTTTTTCGTTGTAATATTGGTGTTTGAATGTTTGGTGAATGATGATAATGGAGAGCACTGGTGTTCCCTGTTATGTTTCTGTTGTTCAGGTTGTGTGTGTTTTGATGGTTTAGTTTGTGTAATGCATGTAAGTACTCTCAACCAATCCACTTGTTGCTTGTTAACATATGTGGGTGTAATGAGAGTGACATTGATGGTTGGACAGATTTCTCGTTGAACGACGATGTTAATTTGCGTAGTCGTGTTCCATGTTCTGTCTACATGATGATGAAGGAGTGTGTGTTGTACATGTTTTGTTTTGTGTGTGTATGTGAATGTTGAGTATTTTGGTATATGGGGTTGATTTTGTGTTGATGGTTTTTCGTTGTAATATTGGTGTTTGAATGTTTGGTGAATGATGATAATGGAGAGCACTGGTGTTCCCTGTTATGTTTCTGTTGTTCAGGTTGTGTGTGTTTTGATGGTTTAGTTTGTGTAATGCATGTAAGTACTCTCAACCAATCCACTTGTTGCTTGTTAACATATGTGGGTGTAATGAGAGTGACATTGATGGTTGGACAGATTTCTCGTTGAACGACGATGTTAATTTGCGTAGTCGTGTTCCATGTTCTGTCTACATGATGATGAAGGAGTGTGTGTTGTACATGTTTTGTTTTGTGTGTGTATGTGAATGTTGAGTATTTTGGTATATGGGGTTGATTTTGTGTTGATGGTTTTTCGTTGTAATATTGGTGTTTGAATGTTTGGTGAATGATGATAATGGAGAGCACTGGTGTTCCCTGTTATGTTTCTGTTGTTCAGGTTGTGTGTGTTTTGATGGTTTAGTTTGTGTAATGCATGTAAGTACTCTCAACCAATCCACTTGTTGCTTGTTAACATATGTGGGTGTAATGAGAGTGACATTGATGGTTGGACAGATTTCTCGTTGAACGACGATGTTAATTTGCGTAGTCGTGTTCCATGTTCTGTCTACATGATGATGAAGGAGTGTGTGTTGTACATGTTTTGTTTTGTGTGTGTATGTGAATGTTGAGTATTTTGGTATATGGGGTTGATTTTGTGTTGATGGTTTTTCGTTGTAATATTGGTGTTTGAATGTTTGGTGAATGATGATAATGGAGAGCACTGGTGTTCCCTGTTATGTTTCTGTTGTTCAGGTTGTGTGTGTTTTGATGGTTTAGTTTGTGTAATGCATGTAAGTACTCTCAACCAATCCACTTGTTGCTTGTTAACATATGTGGGTGTAATGAGAGTGACATTGATGGTTGGACAGATTTCTCGTTGAACGACGATGTTAATTTGCGTAGTCGTGTTCCATGTTCTGTCTACATGATGATGAAGGAGTGTGTGTTGTACATGTTTTGTTTTGTGTGTGTATGTGAATGTTGAGTATTTTGGTATATGGGGTTGATTTTGTGTTGATGGTTTTTCGTTGTAATATTGGTGTTTGAATGTTTGGTGAATGATGATAATGGAGAGCACTGGTGTTCCCTGTTATGTTTCTGTTGTTCAGGTTGTGTGTGTTTTGATGGTTTAGTTTGTGTAATGCATGTAAGTACTCTCAACCAATCCACTTGTTGCTTGTTAACATATGTGGGTGTAATGAGAGTGACATTGATGGTTGGACAGATTTCTCGTTGAACGACGATGTTAATTTGCGTAGTCGTGTTCCATGTTCTGTCTACATGATGATGAAGGAGTGTGTGTTGTACATGTTTTGTTTTGTGTGTGTATGTGAATGTTGAGTATTTTGGTATATGGGGTTGATTTTGTGTTGATGGTTTTTCGTTGTAATATTGGTGTTTGAATGTTTGGTGAATGATGATAATGGAGAGCACTGGTGTTCCCTGTTATGTTTCTGTTGTTCAGGTTGTGTGTGTTTTGATGGTTTAGTTTGTGTAATGCATGTAAGTACTTTCAACCAATCCACTTGTTGCTTGTTAACATATGTGGGTGTAATGAGAGTGACATTGATGGTTGGACAGATTTCTCGTTGAACGACGATGTTAATTTGCGTAGTCGTGTTCCATGTTCTGTCTACATGATGATGAAGGAGTGTGTGTTGTACATGTTTTGTTTTGTGTGTGTATGTGAATGTTGAGTATTTTGGTATATGGGGTTGATTTTGTGTTGATGGTTTTTCGTTGTAATATTGGTGTTTGAATGTTTGGTGAATGATGATAATGGAGAGCACTGGTGTTCCCTGTTATGTTTCTGTTGTTCAGGTTGTGTGTGTTTTGATGGTTTAGTTTGTGTAATGCATGTAAGTACTCTCAACCAATCCACTTGTTGCTTGTTAACATATGTGGGTGTAATGAGAGTGACATTGATGGTTGGACAGATTTCTCGTTGAACGACGATGTTAATTTGCGTAGTCGTGTTCCATGTTCTGTCTACATGATGATGAAGGAGTGTGTGTTGTACATGTTTTGTTTTGTGTGTGTATGTGAATGTTGAGTATTTTGGTATATGGGGTTGATTTTGTGTTGATGGTTTTTCGTTGTAATATTGGTGTTTGAATGTTTGGTGAATGATGATAATGGAGAGCACTGGTGTTCCCTGTTATGTTTCTGTTGTTCAGGTTGTGTGTGTTTTGATGGTTTAGTTTGTGTAATGCATGTAAGTACTCTCAACCAATCCACTTGTTGCTTGTTAACATATGTGGGTGTAATGAGAGTGACATTGATGGTTGGACAGATTTCTCGTTGAACGACGATGTTAATTTGCGTAGTCGTGTTCCATGTTCTGTCTACATGATGATGAAGGAGTGTGTGTTGTACATGTTTTGTTTTGTGTGTGTATGTGAATGTTGAGTATTTTGGTATATGGGGTTGATTTTGTGTTGATGGTTTTTCGTTGTAATATTGGTGTTTGAATGTTTGGTGAATGATGATAATGGAGAGCACTGGTGTTCCCTGTTATGTTTCTGTTGTTCAGGTTGTGTGTGTTTTGATGGTTTAGTTTGTGTAATGCATGTAAGTACTCTCAACCAATCCACTTGTTGCTTGTTAACATATGTGGGTGTAATGAGAGTGACATTGATGGTTGGACAGATTTCTCGTTGAACGACGATGTTAATTTGCGTAGTCGTGTTCCATGTTCTGTCTACATGATGATGAAGGAGTGTGTGTTGTACATGTTTTGTTTTGTGTGTGTATGTGAATGTTGAGTATTTTGGTATATGGGGTTGATTTTGTGTTGATGGTTTTTCGTTGTAATATTGGTGTTTGAATGTTTGGTGAATGATGATAATGGAGAGCACTGGTGTTCCCTGTTATGTTTCTGTTGTTCAGGTTGTGTGTGTTTTGATGGTTTAGTTTGTGTAATGCATGTAAGTACTCTCAACCAATCCACTTGTTGCTTGTTAACATATGTGGGTGTAATGAGAGTGACATTGATGGTTGGACAGATTTCTCGTTGAACGACGATGTTAATTTGCGTAGTCGTGTTCCATGTTCTGTCTACATGATGATGAAGGAGTGTGTGTTGTACATGTTTTGTTTTGTGTGTGTATGTGAATGTTGAGTATTTTGGTATATGGGGTTGATTTTGTGTTGATGGTTTTTCGTTGTAATATTGGTGTTTGAATGTTTGGTGAATGATGATAATGGAGAGCACTGGTGTTCCCTGTTATGTTTCTGTTGTTCAGGTTGTGTGTGTTTTGATGGTTTAGTTTGTGTAATGCATGTAAGTACTCTCAACCAATCCACTTGTTGCTTGTTAACATATGTGGGTGTAATGAGAGTGACATTGATGGTTGGACAGATTTCTCGTTGAACGACGATGTTAATTTGCGTAGTCGTGTTCCATGTTCTGTCTACATGATGATGAAGGAGTGTGTGTTGTACATGTTTTGTTTTGTGTGTGTATGTGAATGTTGAGTATTTTGGTATATGGGGTTGATTTTGTGTTGATGGTTTTTCGTTGTAATATTGGTGTTTGAATGTTTGGTGAATGATGATAATGGAGAGCACTGGTGTTCCCTGTTATGTTTCTGTTGTTCAGGTTGTGTGTGTTTTGATGGTTTAGTTTGTGTAATGCATGTAAGTACTCTCAACCAATCCACTTGTTGCTTGTTAACATATGTGGGTGTAATGAGAGTGACATTGATGGTTGGACAGATTTCTCGTTGAACGACGATGTTAATTTGCGTAGTCGTGTTCCATGTTCTGTCTACATGATGATGAAGGAGTGTGTGTTGTACATGTTTTGTTTTGTGTGTGTATGTGAATGTTGAGTATTTTGGTATATGGGGTTGATTTTGTGTTGATGGTTTTTCGTTGTAATATTGGTGTTTGAATGTTTGGTGAATGATGATAATGGAGAGCACTGGTGTTCCCTGTTATGTTTCTGTTGTTCAGGTTGTGTGTGTTTTGATGGTTTAGTTTGTGTAATGCATGTAAGTACTCTCAACCAATCCACTTGTTGCTTGTTAACATATGTGGGTGTAATGAGAGTGACATTGATGGTTGGACAGATTTCTCGTTGAACGACGATGTTAATTTGCGTAGTCGTGTTCCATGTTCTGTCTACATGATGATGAAGGAGTGTGTGTTGTACATGTTTTGTTTTGTGTGTGTATGTGAATGTTGAGTATTTTGGTATATGCGGTTGATTTTGTGTTGATGGTTTTTCGTTGTAATATTGGTGTTTGAATGTTTGGTGAATGATGATAATGGAGAGCACTGGTGTTCCCTGTTATGTTTCTGTTGTTCAGGTTGTGTGTGTTTTGATGGTTTAGTTTGTGTAATGCATGTAAGTACTCTCAACCAATCCACTTGTTGCTTGTTAACATATGTGGGTGTAATGAGAGTGACATTGATGGTTGGACAGATTTCTCGTTGAACGACGATGTTAATTTGCGTAGTCGTGTTCCATGTTCTGTCTACATGATGATGAAGGAGTGTGTGTTGTACATGTTTTGTTTTGTGTGTGTATGTGAATGTTGAGTATTTTGGTATATGGGGTTGATTTTGTGTTGATGGTTTTTCGTTGTAATATTGGTGTTTGAATGTTCGGTGAATGATGATAATGGAGAGCACTGGTGTTCCCTGTTATGTTTCTGTTGTTCAGGTTGTGTGTGTTTTGATGGTTTAGTTTGTGTAATGCATGTAAGTACTCTCAACCAATCCACTTGTTGCTTGTTAACATATGTGGGTGTAATGAGAGTGACATTGATGGTTGGACAGATTTCTCGTTGAACGACGATGTTAATTTGCGTAGTCGTGTTCCATGTTCTGTCTACATGATGATGAAGGAGTGTGTGTTGTACATGTTTTGTTTTGTGTGTGTATGTGAATGTTGAGTATTTTGGTATATGCGGTTGATTTTGTGTTGATGGTTTTTCGTTGTAATATTGGTGTTTGAATGTTTGGTGAATGATGATAATGGAGAGCACTGGTGTTCCCTGTTATGTTTCTGTTGTTCAGGTTGTGTGTGTTTTGATGGTTTAGTTTGTGTAATGCATGTAAGTACTCTCAACCAATCCACTTGTTGCTTGTTAACATATGTGGGTGTAATGAGAGTGACATTGATGGTTGGACAGATTTCTCGTTGAACGACGATGTTAATTTGCGTAGTCGTGTTCCATGTTATGTCTACATGATGATGAAGGAGTGTGTGTTGTACATGTTTTGTTTTGTGTGTGTATGTGAATGTTGAGTATTTTGGTATATGCGGTTGATTTTGTGTTGATGGTTTTTCGTTGTAATATTGGTGTTTGAAGTTTTGGTGAGTGTTGACATATATTCTTTTTTTTCCAGCTTTTTGTTTTTTTTGTTGATCATCGTTGTGTCGGTTTTTTAATCTGATTTTCATGCTTTTTACCATTGTTGTTGTTATGTTTTACTGTTTGTTTTATCGTTTTTTGTAGGTTGATGATTGTGATTATATTTCTACCCTTTCTGAATCATCTGATGTGAAAGCTAATCGTCGTCGTTTGCTGATTCTCGCTCGAATTGAACGTGTATGTTTTTGTTTATTGTATCGGCGTTTTTTTGGCACTTGTATCTTTCATATATTTTCTAAAATTTAGTGTAACTTCGTATTGTAAACGAATTCTCTTTTCGTCATTTGATTCTCTGCTGTGTAAATTACGTTGTTATTTGTTTTCTCTCTGGTTGTGCCTATTTTGTTAGGTGTTGCGTATGTGGATGTTTTATTGGCGCCTTTTAAACCCTATGTTTCTATTTTGATACCTGAAAATAAAATTGCTTTAAGCAACTTTTCGATAAGACTGTTACCAGAAGCAATTATAATTACTCTATGCTTATATGTTCAATCTGTGCATTCTAATCTTCGACTAGCTCTAGAATATCTGTCGCATGCTCTTGACCTGTCGGGGGATAGGCGGATATTATAGAAGGACTTTGTTCCCCAGATAATTTTTCTCTCATTTTTATGTGGCTTCCCACTCTAGCACCCCATTAACAAGTGTTAATGGGATCCAATCGATTGATGCCGCTTGTGTGACACTGACCCCCGGCTAAATTGGACGAAGATACAACAGGATCTCTGGATAATTGTTTGGGAATCATGTTTATCGAGTAGCAAGCATCGAATTTGCTGTACTGTACTCGTTTCCAATACACGTTTCGGATGTACAACAAACGTCAATATCAAGACACCCAAACCTATTTTTCAACAATGGAAAAAGGGATTGTAATAGGTATACTCACAGAGATATGGAGTATCTTGAATATTATAAGATTGGTGCTCCTTAGATTTAGTGTAATCAAGTTTTAATAACTAGCTCCTGAATTTATTACAGAAGCTTGCTAAAAAGCCCTCAAATCATCTAGTTTTCCCCTTGTTAATAAACGGTACTTCTGATGTTTAAGGAAGCCCGCTTTAATGACTATCCAATTCATATTTGCTCACTGATCTTTGTTGTCGTTTAATTGATTGTTTTCGCTTCTCGTTAAGTATCTTTTATCAAATGTCTCAAGTCCATTTTCTTGATTATGTAAACAGAATTGTCCCGTTAAATTTCTGACTTCGAGTGACAAGTTTTTTCCTGAGTTCTACACCTTGTCTCATCAATCAAGGATTATTGTTGAATAGTCGTGTATATGTCGCACGGATGTGTTTCTTTGAATTGTATTTTGCCCTAAAAACAGCTTGCTGTCGTTCGTAATTAACATAGCTTTCAGAAAACAAAACAAGACTGTCGGGAAGCTTTGAATTTTTTAAATAGTAAAACTAATGTAAATAATATCATTATATACATTATCTATTTATATAAAGATGCCTACTTATAATATTTGGTGACTTTTATCTTTTCTCTAATTTTTTTCCCTCTCATCTGTTTAGATGTTTTCAATATTACTGATCTTAGATGAAGTTTCCTTATCTCTTAAAAGAGTTGTTGTTCAAAATGACGCGTAAGTATACCCTATACTTTTTGTAGATCTATAATTTTTTTACTTTCTGACCTGATTTTCCTCACTTAAGAGCTGTACTGTGTTATATTATATCGCGCTAAAGTTCCTGTTTACAGTTCAAAACGTGGAAACATTTAAATAAAACACTTAAAAAAGAAATCAAACTTAATGATCAAATATACAATAAACACCATTCATACTACGACTTTGTTCCAGAAAGGGATAATCTGCATCTGCTTTAACAAAAAGCTACAAGATTCTGTCACTTCCGTCTTCTTAAACTGTATTTGTGTATATATTCCTTGATTTGGTTGCTTCTCTCTTCCATAGACGTTCCCGACTGTTAGATTATCAACAAGAACTGATTAATCAACTAATCAGTGGACTACTCCAGTCATCATCGATAACAAGCGAAGCCACGTCTAAAGAAGAATTCATATCAGTCGTTGAGAATGGTCTGTTTTCATTGCCATATAGTTTTTTCTCTATTCATAAAGGAATGCGTCTATGGTGTTTAACTCTACATCACCTACCGACAGTAAGTTGTTTCATAATTTTTTATTTAAATGAAACTTTTAGTTCAACTATTGGATTTTTATGTGGAACTTTAAAGTTCTCACTATTTCTCCTAATAAAGACATCTTTCTAAAAAAATTTCTTTCTAAATGATAAAATAGTTGTCAAAAAGGGATGAAAATGGAGTCCAATAGTTCAGTGGTTAGGATGGTAGACTTTCACCCACTACGTAGCGGGTTCAAGTTCCGTTTCACCTGGTTCGGTTTAAGCTTCACTACAAAGTTTAGCTCAAACATGAATGCACAAATTTGTTTATAGCAAGAGAGCTAATATTAAAAAAAAACATGGGTTGTGGTTTACATAAATAAGTTATATAGGTTGATCACAATCAATATATGTTAATAAATAGGTATATAAGCGAAAGTTGGTAGTTTAGTACTGAATCGTTCCTGGACTATTTTATACAGTAAGCAGATTGTTTATTATTGCTTCGAAACCAAACTAATTAACATCGAGATACTAATATAATTGAAATTCACCTCTTTCAATCAATTTTATACACTTTCTTGATAATTTCATACATTCAGTTCGTATTAACCATTGCAAGATTTAATACTTCTCGAATTTAAAAAAAATTTTTCTTTTATAGAAAATTCAAATCAATTATTTGTCACAATTTATTCATGATTTCCTTCGACTTCGTCAGCTTTGGCCAACTACAATAAATGAAGTAGGTTATGTTGTCTCCACTCTTAATCTTCCACTCACGTTCTTCAATCCTTCATATTTTCTTTTATATCCTAAGAGAGTTGTTATTTTTATCCATTCTTAATATTATTAGCATATGTATTCTTTTAGTTCCTTAAAACTATAGAGTATAAAAGCAATATATAGCATACCGCTCCCTATATTATACAACAGTTTATTGTGAACAGGCAAAACATTCTGATTTAATGACGATCATCGCGTTACTAATTAGATTATTTGGTAGAAGTTTTAATATATCGTTTTCTCGAATCATTTGTGGACTCAGCTAAAGTAAGCACATAAAGACGAGCCAACCAAGGTCGAGAAGTAACTTTTGGATTTTCACACAGAATTTGAGAATGAAGGGCTTTTCTTATGTATCACGTAAAACGAGTATTGCAGATACCTTTGTACGGTATTCAAAACGTTTAAAATGATATTGAAAAATTAATTTTTAGCGTCATGAGTTAAGAATTGTGTTGAGCATATCGGATGCATAGTTCAAAATCGTTTGCAGTGGCGCAGGTTTACCCATCCTTCGGTTCCCTCCCCCAAATTCTAAGCTTCTGAATTCATCGTAATTTCTTTTATTTCATTCTAGTTACTCATATTTTCTTGGATCGTATCTTCAGTGTTTAATCCTTTCTATTCCCACTAATGACTGTTACTGCGTTTACTATTCTGGGATTTGTCCCGGCAATTTCATCTCGTTGTGTTAGTAGAGTATAGCAACTTAAACTTATATACATGCATATCAGACACTACTTTACATTTGAACACCTTACGTATCGAGTTCTTTCTATGTAGATTATATATAACACTCAAGTAAACAATCTGCGTTAATCATAACCCTAAACCACTTAGTCTCTTGACTTCAACTGTAATTAACAGCTTCTCATCCCAATCATAACTAGAAACAATTTGGGGACTCATACAAATTTATTTACGTCTTTATGAGTGTTCAAGAAGACAGGGAGTATCTTTGTTTAGACAAGTTTATATGTCGTTATTTTCCGATTCCCACACAGAACATATAAAAGTCCTTAGTAGTTTAATTAATTATGCTAAACCTATATACCCTTTTCACTACTATTATTATTTATTTTCTGTGACCTAGTCTTTTACAAACTCTTTTCTGACCGGATGACAATGGTCTATAACTCACCGAAGTCGTTTCAATCTTCTCTTCGTACCATAGTATCACCATGGCCATTACTTCTGTTAAAAAGCATGACTTCAAAGTGAAACAAATTAGCCTCGTCAACATCTTTAATCGTTTAGTGGTTTTCTAGACGTTGATAGCATATTAAAATTATAAACCTCCTGTATCCCGTTCCTCATGAACTAATCATAGTTGTATTTACGATGTGTTTTGAACATGCTTTGACCACCCCTCAATTTATTTAAACTTGTGTACAAATGTAGCAATTTTAGAAGCTCTCTTACTCATCATTTGTCATTCTCTTTTCCATTTCAAAAATGTCAATCTTTAATCATTGACAATATCCAAAGTCCTAATTTTTGATTAAGTTAGAATTGTCTTGTGATAGGTTACTTTACAGTTCCTACCAATAACCTAGACGGTTATAAGATTTAGTCATGGTCATTTAGTCCTTTGGTTCACACTATACGGAACTCCTGATCTAGTCATTTATTTTCCCTTGTTTTTTGCTTGTTGTAATCGGTGAATCATGTTGGAAATCTTGGCTTTGTTGAATTTTCTAATAGAAAGCTCCATTATTGAAGGTTGTTAATTTATCATTCTTTTTGTCACAGTTGAATTCACAAGTCCACCACTGAAAACCTGGAAGCACTGGATGGCCGTTTCGTTCCAATATGGGACTCTTCAGTAGTGTTAAGTAGTACTGGATTTGAGACATGTTTTATGATAATTGAAAAGACTTTTTGATTCATGGAATATTCTTGTTGTGGAATCATCGTGAAAAATACCAAACTGCTATATCTGCGTTCTAAATATCACTGCGCCACTTCTGTTGACCAAGATATCATCGAACATACTTAAAGGTTTATATATATATATATATATATCACATCGACGTCGAAATATGTATATTTCATGTTTAATTTCCAATTGATTAAAACCACTTTCACAGATTAGTTATTTCAAGTTTTTATTCATTATCCTATGACTACAAAATTGTGTTGTGTTTGTACACAGCTGGTTGTTTTCTCAACGTTAAAACTTCCTAATTGAAATGCCACAATTCAATTATTGATTTAAGATAGTCGAACCAGTATGAATCCAACTTATTTTTATACTTTGTAGGATAAGTTTTCAATTTTTAGACATTTTACGTTATAGATTCTAACCACGGTTTTTTTTTAAATTAGGACGATACGATCTGAAGCCTAATATAAGGTATTTACCAACCGAAATAGGGTATCGAAAGAAGACAAACTTCAGGCGACCAGTTGTGTGCTTATCAGTAACCGTAACTCTCATCTAGCAAAGTAATCTGATTCTGGTGTTTACTTTTATTGTTGAGGTAATTAAAATACACTGAATCATAAAGACGCACACATTATGCATGTTCAAATACTTGGGTAAAGATAAAAAGACGTAATGTGGTATTATTCGAAATATTAAACCAGATGAGGTCATTTGGAATGTATCACTGTGTATGTATGTGTGTGTGTGGGAGAGGAGTAGCGTCTTGAGAATAAAGTTATTTTAGTTGGTATAATTATCGGCTTGTCACGGAAAGTATTATTCTTATTGTTATCTGGTACGTAATCCCATCATCACTGAGATATTTTGTAGATATTCAACAGTAGTTTGATAATCTGATATATATTCACTTTGAATCTTTAATGCTTGATTTTGTTTGAGGAAATTATCAGTTCACTTGATCCATTCTTCTAGTATTTTTCAGCTCATTGCTCCGTCGTAAAAACTACTCTAGCCAGCCATATGGACCAGACACACTCGCTATTTTACTGATCGTAGATATTCGGTTTTAAAATTATCTTTTATCCTGCAAACTCATTTTGTCTTGTAAAATCATATTGTCCGTGTATAATCTTCTCTACCTTCACTGATAGTTTTACTACTTCTACTACCCTGGTATTTGTCTTGATGTTTCCATCTTCTTGTGGTGATATGGTGTGGCAACTCCAACGGTTGCATATATTTTGCAGTTTCTGCGTCACGTACCGATTGATGAAAACCAGGTAGCACTGAATAGCCATTTTTCCCTAGACTATTACCTCTGAGAAGTTGACTGTTCAAGGACATGTAGGTTTGCAGATTAATTGTATAATCGCTCTGTATCACGAGTCGACTGAAAATGTACACTGTTAACTTTCTACTAAGTGGATGTTATACTATAAGATACAAAGATGCTCAATACATGTCGTGTTATTACTGTTAAGGGATCCTAAGCTGCAGTAAAAACCTTCTGAATGTTTCATCATTTCCAGTGTTTCTTCAGTGCATATCAGTTCATAATGCTTACACAATTCTTCACAAATATTCCTTAAATTACTGTAATTTGTTGTTTTGCCAATCTGTGCAATTAAATTTGAATAAATCTACTGTTGAATTTCATTATTATTATTATTAATATAGGCTGCTTCCATATTCTATCCTCATTTACGTGAAATTATATATCAATTGAAACATATTAACGATTTCTTGAAGTTATGCTTTCCTGAAGCATTAAAGATGAATTATGATTCACAGTTAACTATTCCTATAACTGATAATCTGAAATCTCTTTTATCGTGTAAAGTAAGTGAATTATTGATTTTAATCTTATACTGAGTACATATTACACTTTTGATTTCCTTAAGATTTTTCCGTTTACACTTCGTCATAACAACTTTACTCTATCCTCAATCATTTTTATAACATACATTACAACTAATAAAAATAATATATTTGTAATATCCAGATGAGTGGAAAAATCTAAATTTTAAATTTTCTGACGATTCATCCTTCAATGTAAGCTACTTCTTTAGAGAATCAAATCAAAACTTGGCAATGACATCTACAAATACATTGAAACTGATCTTAGAAACTGATGGATTAGACAAATACACCATATGTGTATGACTTAATTGAGTTTTAGTCTATTTTGTTTAACTTATCGTTCGAAATACTATTATCTGTCTGAATGTTTGGACTATTTTATCCCCTAATACTCAACTAATTAATTATGATTGTTTTAAATTGTTTTAAGCTGATAAACAGTTGACTAAATGTTTGTAATGTTGAATTACAGCCTAATTATGTTAAAAAATGTCAGCTGGTTTAGGTTATCTAATTTCAAATAAATTTTATGCTTTGTTAAAGAAGCTTAATAGTCATACTACTGGCTATACCCGAATTTGTTGCCAGTAAGTTTTTTTCCACATAACGAACATCTCTGATGATCCTAATTTTAGTAAAATAAAAGGACATCTCGCCTATTTCAGTAGATTTCAAATTATGGTAGTAAGATCTAAAAATAAAGAGCTTTTACGTGACTGGCCCCCAATGTAACTGCACTTTAGAATCTGCCATTACTATGTTAGTGCTATAAGACCTTCAGCACTAAATTAGTTCCCACGAGAAGATATATCTTTCCATAATAAGAGCAGTCTACAAGTGACAACTACTTGTAGCCTAAGTGTAGCTTAACTGAATATATAAATTATTTAGTTAGTTAAAGTAATATTTTGTGTCGTTTCGATAGTCAGCTTTAACCGATTATCCTAACTTTCACAAATCAAGATGACCTTCGCCTGAGTGCATAGTTTCATCAGATTGAAAGGGAAAAACAAAGTACTTAATTTCTTCATTGAAATGTCAGTTAAATGAAGTTTTGACTGCCCAATGAGCGAGGAAAAACATATCCAGTCAGGTACATCAAACGTAAATGATTACCCTATATACAAAAACGATTTTGCTTGTTGAATACTCTCTATTGTTTGATAATACACCGCCCTTCTGACCTATATATCTGTTTGTTGACTTTGAGTGTTTGAGTTTAGGTGATCAAGTATCCGTGATCTATTGGACCAATAATTACACTGTCTAGCCCCACTGTATTGATCTAGTGTCCAGAGTAGGACAGCTAAAACCCTGTTTTGTAGTTGTAACAGTCGTATTTTCTACATTTTATATAGCTATACGACTCTTTTTGAATAAAATTATATTAAGGCAAAGTGATACGAAACCAAATTTATTTGTAAAATCAGTAATAATCAGCCTATCGAAGTGTCCTCTCTACTTTCTAACTGTCCATTCTTTTGTATTACACTATTGTTTCATTTTATTGATTGAAATAATTTAGAACAACATATATAAGCGAACAATCTTGTTTTCGATTAGATCATCATCAGGCTTTACTCCAATATACAGTAATATTTATATGCACATATGAAATTATTAAACTAATAAAGACAGTTTATGAGACAATGATAACAATGGAAATGATTACATAAATAAACATAATAAGTGAAAAGTACAAATTGATAGTGTGATGACTGGTGTTAATAGTTTTTGATAAGAATAATAAAGGTCCAAATCAATGTTATCATTGACTCATAAAGTACCTTGATTAGTTTAATAATTTCGTATATGCGTATATTAGAGTAAAGCCTGATGAGGATCTAATCGAAAACAATATTGTTCGCTTATATCTATGTTTTTCTAAATTTAAAATATGGGAATTTTTCAAATTTCGAAATAATTTAATCTGAAGTGTTTTTTTTTCTGTTGTTTTAGCTTGGCTTATCTTTGATTTTTTGTTTGCTCGACGCATGTGCTCGTGCCTCCAACCCCACTGATCCATCAGATTTGTAGGTTTATTTGTACCTTTTCAATAAACTTGATCAATACTATATCAAACCAGTTAGTGAATAATAATAAATTAGGTTTTCATATTAAAAATTTTGTGCAGTCATATGAATATATATATATATATATATATATATATATATATATATATATATATGTCATAGCCCTTTGTTGTTTATTTCTTTTTTTAAATTTATGTTTATCAAGTATTCAATTTGGAGCGTATTTCAGTTATGCCAATTCATTGATTGATCGTACTTGCTTTAATAATGCCACTAATGAATGTGATTATGTTATGGAGTCATTTCCACATTTAGCTTCGATTCTATTGTTGTATATTAAACCATCGAAATATGGTCTGTTAACTAATGATCATTTGAACATATTTTGTGATTTAGCAACCAAAACTATTAAAACATCAAATAATGATATTACTAAATATACTACTATTACTACTACTACTACTAATAATAATAATGATAATAAAAATATGGATGTGAATCAGCAACTATCAACCGGGATCATTGATTCAGCTACTGCTAACCATGCTTCAGTTTCATCACTATCATCGTCAAGTTTGACACAATGCTGTGCTACAGTGAGTAATTCACATAACTCTGCCGTGAACAATCATCATCATGCTACTCAACAACAAGATCTTAGTATGGACAATTCAGTACCGACTCCGAATTCACAGAATTCTGAAAATGTTTTGTCAAATATTACGAAAAATCCCGATGATCTATCTGTGTCAGTAGTTGTTGGTTAGTAGTAAGTAGTAGTAGTAGTAAGTTTATATCTAATAAATACAAATACAGAATTTAGTAAGCAGGAGAAAGAGGAAAATGCAAAAATCCGTTTTATTTTCAAAGAAGTAAGTTCGTTTTCTTGTGTATTTATTTGTTATTTGCAGTTTTCTCCTCTTTTTATGCTTAATTTTGTCTGAATTCAATGTTGATCATTTCTAAATCTACTTGGGATTTCTGTAACTAGTGAATTGACCTGTCTATACAATAATCATATTCTATCATATGAAATATAACTCTTCACTATTAGGTTGGGAAATATAATGGATTTTACAGATTTCCCTTCTTGTTTAATATCCCCTGGTCAATGCATGCTGTATCTCCGAAAAAGACCTGCTTGAACTTACCTAATCAATATAGGAAACCGGAACTATTTACACTTCGTGTATCTGGAGACCTGATTTCCACCCCTCATGACCTCTCTAAAGTATAACACTAAGTTTAAAAGAGAAACAGGCTCTCCTGAACTGAATTCTAATAGACAGTCGCCTATGTGCTGTCCGACTAAATGGGAACACTGAATGACAATAGTACAAACCGTTTTCTTTTTTATCTGTGCCTGCATTCCCACTGACTGCGATTCTGATAAACTAAAGGATGAGTTATATAGAAAGCTTTCTACACTCCTAAAAAAGCCAAACGCTCGTATGTCGTAATCGTAGCACGAGACTTAAACACCAAAGTAAGCAGTTTAAACCAAAGTGAAAGACACGTAAGTGGGCCTTACAGGCTTCGAACATAATAAGGAATGGAGATAGTTTAAACATAGATTAACAAAGTCTACTTAATGTTTGCGGACAGTGGTGCAAAGCTGTGAAAGAGGTGGTAGCTGTAGGCAATGGTAGATAATTTTTTCATACTTATCAAATAATCGGCTATTCAGTATGCAGGAGTTGGTGAGAATATTTTTGAAAAAGATGGGACAATGATCCACCTTTAACACTGGAAACTAGAACAATGAGCAAAATACTCTGGAGAGCAGTTTAATTGCTCTACACCTACTCTTTAGTCACTTAATTTTTCTATGTATCCTGAATACGATATTCAAATAAAACTTCCCAACTCTTATAGAATTAAAAACAGCCATATCTAGTGTGAAACGAAGGACGTCAGCAGGTCCAGTTTTAGCTGTTAAGGTGACTGAGATCTTGGTTAATCTTGAAACTGGACGTAATCCCACCGAAATGGTTGCTATCACAGACTGTTCCGGTACATAAGAAAGGACAAAAATGCATCCAGTTCAAATAACATGGTTTTTAAAATATTAGCCTCAATAGTCATCCGAAACCTGACTAGGACTCATAAAGAGTAAACTCGGGAAAATCAGTTTGGTTCCAGACCTTGGTGAAGATTCGAGGATAAAATATTGGCTTTTTGCCAACTTCTAGAGCACACATACTTACCGACTCCCAACCACAGTTGCATTTCTCTCTAAGGTAACATTTGTTTCTCCAGATCGACAGGTTATATGCCAGCGTTTGTCCACTTTAAGGCCTAACAAAGAAATACATTAATCGTGTACAAGCTTTCTACTCAAACATCACTGGGCGAGTAAGAGCATGTGGCTAACTATCACCGGAGTTGAAAAGTCGAAGTTATGTTCGTCGGCATTGTTTTCTCTCCCTATTTTTTTCTTTACTAAGACCAGTTGCTGATGATGGCCCTTCTGTAAACAACATACATATGATTTAATCGAGTATATACAAATTACAGTGACTAGGTTTTATGAATTGAGTATTTTTCAAGGCAGACAAATTATAGTAAGAATGTATTGGAAGTTCATGAGCAGAGCTTACACTGAATAATTCAGTGAATCGTAAATTCATTTTGATCAATATTGATTTGCCTTTTCGTGAGTTGCATTTGGGGATAGCTCACTGCCAACACATTCCGTAACGATAAGACAATAGGTTGTGGGGTTGTTTCCCTGACTGGTATGTATCCTCTGCCCTTTGAAGTTGCTATTGCTGTTTATTTAACTTCTCCGAGAGAATCTATAATGCTGCAACCTTATGATCCTGTATCGGTATTATTCGATCACTGTTCAGAAAATGTAACTTTACTGAAAACACTGTATTTCGTTATAAGATGTCCAACTGTGATATTGTTAACAAGCTTCCTGTACGCTAGTCCAACTGGGTAATTGAGTATGAAGAAAGCTTTTGATTGTCCACCTGAATCGAGAAGTAACTGCACCGCAAATATATATATATTTGCGGTGCAATATTCGTGATAAATTAACTATCTGATGTTCTCCGCTTTCCAACTATTTTCTAGATAATATTTATTTGTGGTTAACATCATATTCACATATCACAATCGCATAATTTCCTGTAATATAATTTCACATTTTAATATGATTAATTCCAGTTTTTCATTATAATATTGTGTTATATTCTATCTCTAGGTTTCGTTTATTGATCATTCGAACATTGAACAATTAAATGGATCATGTGTTGTAAACACCACCGTTTTCTCATTTGTTTTTCTTTAAAATTTTAAGTGTAATTCTTTTGCTCTTCCGTAAGAAAATCACATCACACAATAAAGAGTGGAAAATAACTTTGTTCATTATATTCAACTAGATAGTGCGATTGTATAATTCATTTCGACATTTGATCATCGTTCTATGACGATACAATTTTATAGTGATTCATCATGAGGTTTTTGTCATTAGAATGAATTGTTTAACCTCATAAAAATGTATTTCATACAATCAAATAAAATATCTTTACGTTTGTTTATCCATTTGTTCTAATGTAATTTATTATATACGTCTCTATGATATATATATATGTTTACAGAAATTATTATTATTCTGTTAAATTTAAACTCAACCGATCATGCAATAAATAGATCACCTTTGGGTTCTCCTTTCCTTTTGGTATTTCATGAATTCTCTTATTCTTCTCGACCCTGAAATGAAATAACAGGTGTATAATTTATTTTTTACCAACTTCAATGTATAAAACTTTACACCATCACCGTTCTCTTTTAATATTTTCTTCTCTTCCACATACTCGTGCGTCTGTTGCCTGACTTTCTTTTCAGTTTCGATGACGCCATTAGTAAAGTTTGCATGTCTTTTTGTTGCTTAACACCGACATCCCCACTGTGTATTTTTTTCGTTTTAATAATTGTGAAATAACATTTTGAATAAAAAGAATGGGGATTTTTTGTTATTGTTCTCTCTTGTCAAACCATGTTTTACTCGAGATCGGGGTAGAGGGAAGAGTTTATTGTCTAATCGGTTAGTTTGTATATTTTGTAAGTAGTTTTCGTCATGACCATAGGATTTATTTGAAAATTTGAAGAGTAGTACTTGATGCTTCTGGCGTTCTACTTTAACACGAGTAAGTATGGATTCAAAAGGTTACATTGAATTAAGATCACCTCAGTTAACCTCAGTGAGATTAACTGAGGTCTTAGGTACAAATTTGGGAACTGGACGTAATCCCATCTGACTAGTCTCAATCACTGCTTGTGCCAGTCTGTAAGAAAGGACAAAATTCCTCTTGTGAAATCAGTTTGACTAATATAATGTCTAAAATATTAGCTTCAATAATACTTCGACGCCTAACTAAAGCTCGTCAAGAGCAGACTAGAGAAAACCATGCCGGTTTTCGACCTGGACGTGGTTGTATAGATCAGATATTCACACTACGTCAGGTTCTAGAACATAGACACACATTCGGACGCCCCACAATCGCAGTATTTCTCGACCTTAAGGCGGCATTCGACTCTGTTGATCGTGAGGTTCTATGGCAGTGTTTGTCACTGAAAGGAGTACCAAAGAAGTACATTAACCTTGTAAAGGCTCTCTCCTCGAACACAACTGGTAGAGTGAGAGCTTATGGCGAACTGTCATCAGAATTGATTACCTCAAGTGGTGTTCTTCAGGGCTGTCCACTCTCCCCATTCTTGTTCAACTTTGTGGTCGACGTACTTTTAGAGATAACACTCTCCTCATCTAAATTTTCAGGGGTTGAACTTGTACCGGGAGGTTCACTTGTTGACTTAGAATATGCTGTTGACATAGTTTTATTTGGTGAAGACGCTGACAAAATGCAGAGTCTTCTGACCACTCTAAGCAACAATGCAAGCATGTTCGGGATGCGATTCTCTCCCTCGAAATGCAAAATGTTGCTTCAGGATTGGGTTACATCGACACCTGAACTAGTGATAGGGAGTGAAGTAGTTGAGTGTGTCGACCGCTTCACTTATTTTGGAAGTCTCATCAGCCCTTGTGGTTTAGTGTGTGACGAAATCTCAGCACGGATACAGAAGGTTCGACTAGCTTTTGCCAACTTGCGTCATTTATGGTGTAGGCGAGATATCCGTCTATCAACCAAAGGACGAGTTTACTGTGCAGCAGTTCGTTCCGTCCTTCTTTATGGCAGTGAAACATGGCCGGTAAGAGTAGAGGATATCCGTAGGTTACTAGTATTCGATCATAGGTGTCTTCGAAACATTGCTCGTATATCCTGGGACCATCAAGTAAGTAACACAGTTGTTCGGAAACGGGTACTAGGTAAGGATGGCAAATCAATTGAAAATAGTGAAACTTCATCAGTTGAGATGGCTGGGACACGTGTTATGTGTGCCCAACGACCGACTGCCTGGACGTGCGATGTTCAGTGGTATAGGAGTAGGTTGGAAGAAAGCTAGGGGTGGCCAAACCAAAACATGGCACAAGTTCATGAAGTCACTGGCAAGTGGACTGAGTCATGTTGGTAGGTGTAGACTACCTGGTTGGGGACCGCGAGATGATAGCAACCGATGATTAGAGACCCTGAATGACATGGCTCAAAATCGTTTGCAATGGCGCAGGTGCATCCACTCTGTGTTCTCCCAAATTTTGATCTTCTTATTCCTCCTTGTCTCTTTTTTCTCTTTCCAAATTTATTTCACTGGATTATGCTCTTTAAATAACATCTCCAAACACTAATTTTCCTGATTACTGCTTATACTCTTATTACCTCTACCACTACGGGGTTTGAATTGAAAATTGTATCTGTGTACTAATGTGGTGTGGTAACTCGAACTGATGTACGTACGTACGTACGAAGTTATACGTTGTTACTGACTGACTCGTGTCAAGCACGATGTTTTCAGATCACTGCGTTGAAACCCCAGTGTGGTCCATATTTTCGGCTTCAATTCATGATATAGTGACAGTTTATCATTGAATTCCTTAGTAATTCCAATTGATTTTACAGGCCAACTTCTCAAACAGAGCTTCAGTAAATTCCAACTGATAGCTAGTTATTTTTGAACACAGAATTATAATTTCTATATAGACAACTTTCAGCGTTTCTCATAACTGATCTTAGATCATGTCGCGAAGTGTAGAAAATTCATCTGGGAATCATCCAGCTATATTTCAGGGTTTGTAGTTCCTGTATATTTGTGTTTTTATATGACATAGAAAATAACATCATGCTGAAGAAAGTCAAATGAACCGAAAAGATTAGTTGATTAAGTTTACTTCGCGATTTCATTTGTTAATTTTTGGTAATTATTCAGGGATTCTTTTAGATATAGAAAACGTTTTGGTTGATTTAGACAAGTTTTTTTATCAGAGCTTGAACCTCGAAATCTGGTTGGTTGGTTGCGTGCTCATTATTAGAGTACTGTATACTAGTGCGTAATTGACACTAGAGATTTCATTTCAGTACTCCGAAGCTATCTATATTTGTCTGGGTGAGGAAAATAGTAATTGGTTGTTTACTTAATCTGACAGGTACTGGATGCGTTATATGTTTTCTAGCCCTTGGCATTGAAGTATACTCACGTTCTAGTCAGGCCAGTCACGTGTTCTTGATCCGAGCTGTGTTGAAGACCTGTTGAATAGACACTGTTAGGGTATCTTGTGTAGGTATTCGTGTTAGATAAATTAGTGTTCCATTGGTGTAAGGGAGAAAACCAAGCGTTATTTCATTCCCATACAAATATGTCTAGTGTGGTGCAGTTGAACATGGTGGATTAAAATATTAAGTTCCGAAATGAAATATTTGGTGAAAATTATGCTAATACACATCATTCACCCACTAACTGAATGAGATACGATATTGTTTAGCGTAATATATATTCTGATTGATGAATTTCAAAATAAACACTTTTCTGAGGATAAACAATGAATGAATTATACAAATTGCGCTAGTGTTTACGCTTGACTTGAAAGGGAAGTATAATGTAGGGTTTACATACATAACTATTATTTACCACAAATTGTGATATTCTTACGGTTGGAGAAATACATGACGGAGTGAACTGAGCAGACCACTAGATAATGTAAACTTGTGCATCTCATTATAAATGCAAAATCTACTCTGAACTAGCATAGTGGAAATTCATACGTAAAACCTCTACACAAATACCAAGTTTTTATTAGAGTTGGGCTTGTAACGAAACTATTCTGTACCCAATCCTACACAGTTTCTGGAAAGTTCGACGACAGTGAAATGCTGGTTGTGTAATATTACTTATATTTATAAGTTCGTTATAACTTGTTGGGAATATTGACTTATAGTCACTTTGTGAGCTATAGCTCAGTGGCTAAATCACTCTTCTACCAGCCACGGAATTAAAATTCTGAACTTCCTTTCATCTGTTTTAATTTTATCAACTGAGTGGTACTTTTTAAATCTAGATCATAAGTTCAGTCAGTTGTCTCTATTATATTTTCTAATTGTTTAGTGTTTTTTTTATACTATAATTTACTCAACTTTTCCTGAATCAGAACAAGAATTCAAAGAGAATAATGTCTATTCTAATAAAACAAAAAAGCAGAGATATATTAATAAAACCATTTGAGATTATATAGGATTCACTTAAAAGTTCCCAGCATCTCATTTTGTCTGTCATCGTTGATTGGTTGAAAAGAGATCAGTCAATGTATTTCGATTTGAATCTGATCTGTTATGATGATCAGGAGTATTTGAATTATAGTATGAACTAAGAATCCCAGAAATAACGTAATCGGATCAAGAAGTACTAGATAAGCACAAACGAATGTACTGTATTTGGAATTCGAAATCAAGCATCCAACAAATATAAAGGAATCATTAGTTCATTCAAACACCACATTTGTGTATACAAAATAGCACTGTCCTACTAATATCTCCAATTGTTTAGCATGTAGAAAGGCTAGTTGTATATATGTTTCTGTAATACTACAATTATTGTTTTAATCAATCAATACATAAAATTCATTTGAAACTTCAGTCAATGACTAGCTTCACTTATCTGTTTTGGGTCCTAGATTTTAACTGACTAAACTTAATCTTTAATGTTAACTACCAACATTCTTGCTAATGTTATAGCCTAGTGTGTTGAATCTATATTTATCATGTGATGTTTAATCATTTTAATACACGTCCTCAATCATCTATTAAGTCATAGATTTTAGTTGAACAAATCAATTTTTTTTTCAAAAAAACTTCAATGTGTATGTGCTGTCGACAAAAGCTGAAAAAATTAGTCAGTTTTTGGAATGAGACGTTTAACCTATGAATATTTTGCTAATGTGTTTACTGAAAAATTTAGTTTTTTAATAGTTGGATTCAAGAGTCGATTAAAGCTAGACCACCATTGAAAACCTGGAAGTACTGAACAGCCGTTTCGTCTTAATATGAGACTTCTCAACAGTGCACACCCACAATCCTGTACGCGGGCCCCCAACCCAGGACTTTCGGTCTCGCGTGAGAACGCTTAACCTACTGGACCACTGAAGGCCCTGGGTTCGAATCCCGCTAATGGGATCGTGTATGCGCACTGCTGAGGAGTCCCATACTAGGACGAAACGGCCGTCCAGTGCTTCCAGGTTTTCATTGGTGGTCTAACATCAATCGGTTTATGATCTTAATCAAAAAATTAACAATCTCCACAACCCCTATACTGATAAAAACATATTTAACAGGTGAACATAAACCTAGTTTTGTTCAAATGTTAAATATTTCAGATTCTACAGTTCTTATTTTTATAAGAACTCAAATCTCTACATATGCTTCTATATGCTAGACGATCTAATAGTCAATAAGATATTGTAATCCACTAGTGTTTGCTACTCTTGATAAGAATATATGGGTAATTTTCCACACATATAAGTGTAACTTACTTGAATACTTTGCTGATGTTAAATTTGTTCATCCATATTTTGCTTTTTTTATACTTTG